AAAAGTACCGTATGAAGCTGAAGCTGTAGATTCAGATAACAGGCCCACAGTGTCTGGCGTGGTATTTGTAGGCGAAGACATGCACTCTTTCATGATTGTGGGCTTCTCATCATGCAGTGAAAATACGCTCTGCGCAGCAGCTTTTGCACGTGTCACCTCTGGTGCCAGACTGAACAGCTGGCCTGCAGATTGGGCGGAAAACAGCAACGCTGGGAGCACAATGAAAAAGTCTCGTTGCGAATAGTTGCCACTACGTACTTGTTTAGAGCCCCTAGATAGCGTTAGCATATGAGTTGCATGCTGTGTATGTCCACCACTCTTTTGATTGGCAATCGCAACAGGAAATGATGTTACTTACCACCAGTAGGCCAACGAGTACACAAAGTAAGTGATTGACAAAGAAAATGCAAACAAAATATTACCCAGCATGCTAAATCGAAGATGCTCTTCGTACGGTTTCCGAATTGCTTCCCTATAGGCCTGGAAGAAGTGCTCTTCAAGGCCAAAGACTGCGACAATCTGCATTGAAGATGTTGCCTCGGACGCCAGGGCTGCCGCTCCATTATATGCAGTCTGGTGGTGGTCCTCTGCAATGGCCAAAATGCGAAGACGGAGGAAGCCAGCAAGAAGCATGACAGGCACGGCTGCCAGTAGCACGATGGCAATCTTCCAGGCTACAATATGAGCTAGAATGATGCCGCCAACCACTGAAGTTGCGATCGAAAAGATCGTCCCGAGTATAACACCGGATAGTCCGCTGATACTTCCGCTGTCCGAGTTTAATCGTGACATGAGCGCATGGTGGGAATGTCCAGGCTTGGAGAACCACGCAATATCCTGTTGCAAGATGGTCCGGAAAGAGAGGTCCCGGACTCGTAAAGTAAGGTTTTCGGATACAATACCGAAAGCCGTCTTTCCAAAAGAGTGAGAGGCCAAAGCCACAATGGCCAGAAGAAAGAAGAGCAGACAGTAAAAGGAGATTTGGCGCGTAGTATCGTCAGACCCGCTGGTGTCGTTCAAAAGTTGAACCAGATTTCCAAAAATGAGCGCCTCTCCAATGATAACCGCACCACTAAACACCGAAGAAAATAGACCGAGGGCAATCGCCGGTGCTTCACGGCGGCTCAAAGACAACGACCTCCCAATCAGCTCCACAGCATTCATTTTGCGCTGATTGCCCGTTTTGCTCGAGTCTCTCGAGTCTGGTTCCTCAACATCGTCTGGCGCTCGCTCGTCTTCCTTGTGGGAGTGTCGTAGACTAGAACGTGTTGACGAAACAGCAGATGGGCGGCCTTTCTCAAATTGCTGTGCTCTAATAAGCTCGGCATATGTACCGTCTCTTTGTTGAACAAGAGATTCATGTTTTCCATCTTGCTCAATAGTGCCATCCCGCATCACGATAATACGATCTGCATCCTTCACAGTAGCAAGGCGATGTGCAATGATGATGGTAGTTCGGCCGGTGGCAGCTGAGGAACGTCGTAGATTCTCGAGAACCACAGCCTCGCTTGTGGCATCCATTGCGCTTGTGAATTCGTCTAGGAGAAGTAGAGATGGGTTCCTGACTAATGCCCGAGCAAGAGTGATACGCTGCTTTTGGCCTCCAGAGAGCTGCGACTGCGGGCCAGTTCCAATCTTGGTGTGAATTCCCTCGGGCAGACGCTCCAAAAAGTCACAGTATGCCTCGGTTGCTGCTGTCTGACATCGAGCAAGTATTTCATCTTCAGTAAGATGTTGAAGTTCTCTCTGGGGAATACCGTGTTTGATGTTGTCAAGGATAGATCCAGTGAAAAGCACCGGGTTTTGTGTGACAAGTGCAATGTGTGAGCGTAAACTATGAAGGTTGAAGGATTTCAAGTTATCCTTGCCAAGGCTAATGTTGCCGTATGTAGGATCATACAAGCGCAAGAGCAAGGAGGCGATGGTAGACTAATGTTTGAATAATGTCAGCACGTTCTTTCCAGACATTTATGGAAACAATCTGCCTACCTTTCCAGACCCTGATGGACCAACAAGGCCCGTGACTTGCCCAGGCTTGAGACGTAGATCAACACTGTCAAGGATACGAACAGTAGGCCGAGCGGGGTAGACAAATGAAACTGCCGAGAGCACCAACTCTCCCTCAAAATGCACTTTTTGGGCCGGCTTCCCTTTGGCAGAGTAAACGTCAATGTCGGAGATGGGGTGATCGAGGACGTCGAGTACTGCAGCTCCGGCAGCAGCAGCCATTGCAAATGTTTGTATAAAGGGCCCAAAAGAACCAACGACAAAAGAGGCATCTAGAATGAGAAAAACGACAGCATAGATGGTTCCTGCTTCAGCGCTGCCATGTCGTAGGTGATGGCCATACCAAAATGCAAGTGCATTGGTTGCGTAAGCCACAAAGTAGACGGAGCCAAGCATGAGGGCACCTGCAAAGCTCTTCTTCACTCCTATCCTGAGCGCAGAACGAAGATGATGGGCATGTTCTTCGCTGAGTCTTTCAAAGAGACCAAAGGCTTGCACAATCTGGACTGCTCGAATGGCGCTTTCTGCGACAGAAGAAGCCTTTTCGGTGTATATTGAGGCTTGTTTGGTAAGATGTGAAACGGTCTTTGTGCCAAAGCAAACAACGAAGGCCATTGAAGGTATTACGGTGAAGAACCTGATGTTGTCAATCGACGTTTGCGCGCACTGGGTACAAACTATGATTACATTACTCCGGTAAGCTTTGCATTGAGCAAAAAGCCTACAGTGAATGCAGAGATGAAGTAGCTGATTGAAGCAATGAAGAGGCCTACTTTCTCCGAGGTTCCAAGCTGGATGGTTTGAGTCTTTTCGGTGAGGATACTAGACAAGTCCGGGGCGACAGTGTCTGATGGGCATGTTGAGTTAAGATGTACTCAATCGAATGGATAGTCGAGTCGAAACGCACCATAGTAGGCCATGTCCATACCAAGAGCACGATGGAGAAGTCTTTCTCTGGTTTTTCTACTGACACGCTCGCCCGTGACGGCCCAACATACGGACCAGCCCCAGGTGACCAGAAAGTAGCCAACCGCAACGGACATGAGGCGGTATAGCAAATGTCTCAGCTCATCCGCGTTTGGCGGAAAATTGTTGATGATGCGGCCTAGAATGACGCCTATCAAGGGCAGTGGCAGGCCTGCAAGCACAGCGAATATGATAGCCAGGGCTAGGACGGCCTTGGAGCTGGTGTCATCCAGCTGCCTGTAGAGGGTAAAGTAGGATGTTCTAAATGGGTTCAAGCCTAGGATCTGGCGAATGAAGCGCTGACGAAATAGAGCGGCGCTCTCGAAGGCCTGGGGTTGGACAGTTGCCAGGGACGGCTCTACGTGTCTCTCCCATTGGGTGCTATGGAGGATGGAGCACGTCTCTTCGATTTCGCTGTCGTCGGAGTCAAGAAGAGGCTGGCTTTCCGAGCTCGCATCGTCTGTGTAGTCTGGCATGGTGGCGGGCTGAGATGTAGGCTCCGTCTCGTGCTAAGGAAGCGTCATGGGGAGGCGAACAACGGTAAGAAGAAAGCAATGGCAGCACAAACTGCCGGGCTACGAGGGACAGCACGGAAGCATGGGAGTGATGTTGGTGATTTGGCAGCACTCAATGTTTGAGAGGAAGGCTAGGGCAGTCGATAGCCCCGTCTTGGCGCCCCATGTTCCTGTGACGTGCGCTTCATGTGCACGACGCCAAGATTCTACTTAGCAGCCGGCGACACACGGTAGTAGCCAGGCACGCGCACACGCACACGCACCCTGGACGGAGAGGGCATGCGATGGAAGGTGAGTGTTCGCTGCTGAAGACGCGTGGATACCGACCCGGATGCGCGATGCGACAAGCTCGTCTCTACCTGTCGCGCACACGCCGGACGCGGGACGGACGCGAGGGACATGGACGGGCTGCAAAGTCGATGATGCAAGAGAAGACCGGGGAGACGGGCGACATGCATGGACATGTGCATGTTCCATCTGATAAGGCGGGCCAGCAGCATCTGATAATCTTGGTGCATTATCAGATTGGAGCACGGGCGTCGCCTCGACTGATTTCAGCTGAGGGGGGGTCGTCCCGCCCGACACATGACTTTCCCCCCACCCACTGCCTGCCCTGCCCAACAAAAGATGGAACACCGGCGCCGCTTCGACAAATCATGCCACGATGGCCAGAGACCAGGGCGTGGGCACGCTACTGCCATGGGGTCTGTCGACTACTTACGTACCGACGCTGGACTTTGGGCATGCCGCGCCGAGCTGGCCACGCCCGGGTGAATGTCCGACCACATGCGACTGTCACTGCGTGGGACTCCATGTCTCTGGTGGAGCCCGGCTACGGCGTCCTGATTTGTTCCAGTCTGGAATCGAGTTTTCGCCCTGGCCCGCTGGCCGTTTGCTGTCCATGGAAGGCAGCCAAGTAGTAGTATTTCACATTATCAGATCTTACCCGCCGCTTGTCGAATGACACGCCCATTCGCCCGTCGACTAGCATGTATGACGCTTCGGTCCACCCACTCCGGAAAACGCCATCGCAGTCACGGAGCAGCCTGCAGTCAAAGACAATGTCGACTGCACTTGCTCACCTTGTTTTCCTCCTCTAGGCCACAAAGCTCGCTCGCGCACACTCTTGTCGGTCTGGCGACAAGCTTGTTCGCCAGACGTTCTTTTCCTTACTCCAGCGTGCTTACTCTCAGCCACGTCTTCACCCTCTCTACCCACGCATCAGCCCAACCAACACTCGAGCATAACTCAAGCACAGCTGCCTATACCCGTCATCACGTGCGTCAGTCTTGTGCACACGTCCAAGTGCCCATGTACTTGGACCCCTCCGACCAATCAACGTGTCCCAATTTCTCATCATTGCGAGTTGCCATTGAATTATCATCTCCTCTAATCCCTCGAGACAGTAGCCACGGGTGTACCCTCTTTGTCCTTTCAGCTTGCTTTGTTATGCGTGTTGGAGCAGTAACATTCCAAGTACCTTGAACATCACATATCCTCCTGCTAGAAATCATGTCATCCGCTACATCTCCTTGCGAAATGGCCCACAAAAACCGTCTAAACCAGACCTTGTCGATATTGAACGGCCAGCCTTTGCTTTTGGACGGTCCGGACCTCCTTCACCAACTAGTTCCGCGACTGCATCACGACGCGAACGCCATCGATTTCCTGGAACACGGATCGAAAAGGCGAAAGTTTTCCTACACAACACTTCACTCCTTGAGTGATGCCTTCGCCGCTAGAATCACAGAAATACTGGGCAAGCTCGAAAGTGCTTCGTCCATTATTCCGGTATTTTTACCCCAGTCTCCAGAGCTTTATGTAGTTCTACTCGCTATTCTAAAGGCTGGCAAGGCTTTTTGTCCACTCAACCTCGACACACCAACAGAAAGACTAAAGTTCATTCTTGACGATATTTCAGCTGATATCATAATCACATTCGAATCCTACAGCGAACATATCCGCACAGCCACCAATATCCATGTTGTATCAGCAAATCGCGAACTTTCTGGTTGCCATGACACCTTCCATCATCACTCGCCCCACCTAAGCCCTGACAATCTTGCATATGTGCTGTACACATCGGGATCCACTGGGCTGCCCAAGGCAGTGAGCGTGTCTCATCGTGCCGTCACCCAGAGCTTGCTCGCTCACGACCCTCACATTCCAGCCTTTTCTCGTTTTCTTCAGTTTGCTGCTCCTGTGAGTGCCAGTTTTTGAACCCTTCTTCGCCATGCTAACATATCAAAAGACGTTTGATGTCTCCATATTTGAGATATTCTTTCCGTGGTTTCGAGGCAAGACTCTGGTTGGCTGCACACGCACGCAAATGCTCGATGACCTTCCAGGCACTATAGCCAGCCTCGATGTGGACGCTGCCGAACTTACGCCAACGGTCGTTTCCAGTCTTCTATCCGGTCGCTCGAGCGTGCCCGGTTTGAAGTTGCTCCTCACTATTGGCGAGATGCTGACACAACCCGTCATCGATGAGTTTGGCGGCGATGCAACCAAAGAGAGTATTTTGTGGGCTATGTATGGTCCAACCGAAGCTGCAATTCACTGCACAATATGGCCACAGTTTTCAACGTCCGATTCAACTAACACAATAGGCCATCCACTAGACACTGTTTCTGCTTTCATCCTTGCATCTTCGACAGGACTCCACACCTCGCCCATTGATATACTTCCGATCGGGCAAGCTGGTGAACTTGCAATAGGAGGCCCTCAAGTTGCTAAAGAATACCTCCATCGGCCAGACCTGACACGTGCATCCTTTGTCGAGCATCCGTATTACGGTCGCCTCTATAGAACTGGTGATCGAGCAAGGATCAACGAACAAGGGCTGCTCGAGTGTCTAGGGCGTGTTGTGGCTGGCCAAGTAAAGCTGAGAGGCCAGCGAATTGAGTTGGGTGAAATTGAGCAAGCCATCATGAAGACAAGAGGATGTCGTGCAGTCACTGCAATGGTCATACAGGACAACCTAGTCGCTTTCTGCAGTGGAAGGGATGGAATGTCACGCGGAGCTGTGTTGACGACCTGTAAGCACTGGTTACCTGCATCTATGATACCGTCAGATGTGTTTGTCATTGATGTAATGCCACAACTACCATCGGGTAAAGTCGACAGAAAGTCTCTTGAGAAGGCATATCTGCATTCACACCCCAACGGGTCGTCGTCGTCTCTTGCTATTAGCCCGAAAGATCCAATTGGTCACTCGGTTTGGAGTGTCGTCAGCCACCACACCACGCAGAATATCGGATTGGAGACCAACCTTACATCCATCGGAATAGACTCTCTCAAATCGATCCGCATTGCGTCTGCGTTGCGAAGAAAAGGGTACTCGCTGGGCGCGATCGAAGTACTATCTGCTGCGACCCTTGCAGACCTCATTGAAGTTTGTAGGGAATCCAAACCGGTGGACTTTTCATCTCAGGACAAAGAAACTAAGCCTGGAGCTTTCATTGATACGAAAAACCTTCAACTCAATGGCTGGCGCCATAACGTCGCTTTGATACTTCCATGCACTCCATTGCAGGAGGCTATGCTGGCAGAAACAAGATCGAAGCCCACGGCGTACTGCAACTGGATCGAGGTCGAGCTTTCGGTTGCTTACACCTATGAACAGATTCAGGATGCTCTGTTGTTTCTGGCCCAGGAGAATGAGATACTGCGTACTGGTTTCTGCATCGATTCGCAGCATACCACAGTATTCTCACAAGTCATCTGGAAGGAGCTCTCGCTTTCCCAAATTCAGAAAGTTGCCAGCTTCTCGAATCAGTATTCGATGCAATCTGACCATGATTTTCTCCGACCGTTCGGGGTCCAGATCAAGACTCACTGCAAACTCCCCCGCCTGCTCTTCCAAATACACCATGCTCTATATGATGGTTGGTCTTTGGACCTGCTACTCCGTGATCTTGACCACTGTCTTCGTGGAAAGCAGGACTTGAAAAGGCCATCATTTCGAGAAGTTGTACGTTACCTCGATGACGACCGACGGCTCAACAAAACCCAAAACTCTACAAATTACTGGAAAAGCCTTCTTGGTGACTATATCCCGACCACCCTGCCCAACTATCATGGAAAGCTGGTTCATAACGCAAGCATACATCGATTTTTTGGACAATCAAGTGTCAGCCGGCACAATCTTTTCGAGTGCGCTCACCATTCAGCTATCAACCCACAGGTCTACTTCCAGGCTGCCACTGCATTCGTGCTCAGTCTTTACACTGGCTCTAGTGATGTGGTACTAGGCAACGTAACTTCTGGGCGTACAATCCCTGTAGCTGGCATAGAAGACATTATCGGTCCTTGCATCGCTTCCCTCCCATTTCGTATCGATTTCGCAGATACGTATTGCGTTCGAGACGTCTTGAAAAGAACTCAATCGACAAACAGAGACAGTCTACGTTATAGTCAGCTTCCACTGCGTGAAATAGCAAGGGCTGTTAATGTCAAGCCTGGAGCGCGGTTGTTTGAAACTTTGTTTGTATGGCAACAGTCAATGGTCGAGGATGAGGATGACAACGCATCCTTGATCGCCAAGGTTGTCGATAGCGCAGACGAACTGGAGTTCCGAATAACATTGGAGTTCGAACCAGTTGGGGACAATATCTTGTTTCGGAGTACATTCGACGCTGCAACTGTATCAGAGCATCAGATTCAGTACCTGTTTCGGCAAATCGATGAAGTAGTCGAGATGTTCATGGTGGATGCCGATCGTCACGTAAGTGCGATCAACCAATGCTTTACCACGCCATCCTTGTCTATAGCCAACCCCACGCCTCTGGAGCAGCGCTTTGACCATGGCCCTTCTCATGCTGTAGAGAAATGGGCGGCGACTGATCCACACCGAACAGCTATAATATTCGGCCACGAAGTGAATGGGTCAATCAAGGTCAAAGACACAATGACTTACAGCATGTTGAACTCACGTGCTAATCAGTTGGCTCGTCTCCTTGCAGAACACGGCGTGACAAATGACCAGCTCGTGTGTATTATCATGGAGAAGTCTGTCAATCTCTACACTTGTATCCTTGCTGTACTCAAGCTCGGCTGCGGCTACTTACCGCTCGTTCCTGATACCCCAATCGATAGAGTCAAGACCATCCTGAACGATGCTCAGATTGCGGTGTGCATGTCAGAATTGTCACTGTCAGCTACCTTGCGCTCACATCTCTCAGTTGACATTATAGACTTTGACCTCGCTGCACTCTCTGATTACTGCGATCGAAACTTGGAAATACCATACAATGGTCAGCATCTTGCTTACGCAGTCTTCACTTCCGGAAGCACAGGAACACCCAAAGGCGTTCTTGTGACGCAGGATAACCTCATGAGTAACCTGCACTATCTTTCAACTATTTACCCCTTCTCTGCCGACTCGCGTCTGCTACAGGCATGTTCACAAGCTTTTGACGTCAGCGTCTTCGAGATATTCTTCACTTGGTACGTCGGCATATGCTTATGCTCGGCGACAAAGGAACATCTCTTTCGTGATTTCGAGGCTGCCATCGACCAACTGAAAGTTACACATCTTAGTCTTACACCGACGGTTGCTGCGCTAGTGGACCCGAAAAATGTTCCCAAAGTCGAATTTTTAGTAACAGCCGGAGAGGCTGTGACTGAACATGTCCGCAGGAAATGGGCAGGTCGAGGGTTGTACCAAGGCTATGGACCGTCAGAGACTACAAATATATGCACTGTTCGAGTTGCAGTCACTCCAGATGATCTAATCAACAACATTGGTAGTCCCTTTGCTAACACTTCGGCGTTTGTGCTCGACCCCGAAAGTCAAGACATACTTCCACGAGGCGCTGTTGGAGAACTTTGTTTCGGTGGCTCACAGGTGTTCCGCGGGTACCTCAACCGACCAGAGCTCAATGCCCAAAAGATTATTCAACATCCCACGTACGGCAGGATATATCGATCTGGCGACATGGGAATACTTCTTCCAGATGATAGCATTCTGTCTACAGGACGCACGGATGATCAAGTGAAAATTCGTGGCCAGAGGGTTGAGCTAGGGGAAGTAACATCTGTCATACTTGACCATGGTGCTGTCTGGGATTGTGTCACCCTCGCCTTAGAACAGTCCACCAATTCAAAAACGCTTGTTAGTTTCTGGGTACCAAGGGAAGATTCGTCAAGCCGCGTCGAAAGTTTAGAGCCTTCGAAGTTTACAACTACAATTTCGGAATTATTCGACCTGTTATCCCGACGGGTGCCATCCTATATGGTGCCATCCCATCTCATACCGATATCATGCCTGCCGATGACCCCACAGGCAAAGATTGACAAGCGATTCTTGCAGCGATTATTCTCCAGTTGTGAGGAGCATACTCTGAACAATGCCACAAATTCCAATAGTATCACGGAGACAGAAGAGGGAGAGCTTTTGTCACAATGGGAGAGGGACGTCTCTCAACTCTTGATCCGAATGCTCGCTACTTCTTCAGATAAGCTAAAGCGGACCTCATCATTCTTTAACCTGGGTATAGACTCTGTATCAGCTATACGTTTCTGCAGCGAGCTACGAAAGGCAGGGCTTGGTGACTACTCTGTATCCGAAGTTCTCAAGCACCCATCCATTGCTAGTTTGGCATCTTTGAAGAAGTTGCAATCATCTACAACAACAACAACAACAACAATGGATAAGACGCTGTCAGTAGATGCATCCCATATCTTTACCACCAACCAACTCGAAAGAATTCGCTCCACCGTTGATATGAACGGAGTCAGGGCAACGAAAATACTTCCTTGTACACCACTCCAGGAAGCCATGATATCGAGTGGTCTGTCTTCACCGGGACAGGCATACTGTAATGTTATGGTTTTCGATGTCAAAGGAGATTTGCAACAGCTACAGAGGTGCTGGAAGACTGTGATCCAGCGGCACGAAATTTTTCGAACTTCGTTTGTTGCAACGGATAATCCATTGTACTCATTTGCTCAAGTCATTGTAGAAGGGTATGGCATGGGTTGGCATGAGGACAGTATTGACAGCGGCCTTCAACTCCGCGTCAGCAAGATTCTGTTTGATCTCATGGAAGCCAATAAACCTCCAGTGTACTTTTCTCTGAACCGAGAAGAGGACTCCGCAAAGTTGCTCTTTTGCTGCCATCATGCCCTCTATGATGGTATAGCTATGTCCACGCTCCTTGCAGAAGTCCAGGAGCTATATCATGGCCGCCAGTTACTACCGCCAGTTTCATACGATGTTTATCTGAAGCGCATGCTTGAGCAGAACTTGGATGAAGCTGATAAATATTGGTCTGCTTTATTGGAAGGCTTTGAGCCTACATCGTTCCCTTCTCTCACTGGGAAGAGAGTCCGAGAATATGAAGCTTTCACGTCCTCTTCAAGACGTCTCAGTATGTCGCTCGACAGTGTGAGAAATTCATGCCAAAACAGTTCAGTGTCACTTTTGTCCGTTGTACATGCTGCATGGGCAAAACTACTCCACTTTTACACTCATGAAAGCGACATATGTTTCGGGAACATAGTCAGTGGTCGCAGCTTTCCAGGAGAGCATCTCGAACGCCTTGTCGCACCTTGCTTCAACACTCTGCCAGTCCGTGTCGATTTTGACTTTGGCAAAAGCAATCGTGCCTTGGTGGACCTGATGCACAACCAAAGCATCGAGTCGCTCGCTTACCAATTAAGCCCACTTCGTCGAATACAGAAGACTACACTCAAGGATGGTGGGCGGCTATTTGACTCCCTTGTGATCCTTCAGCAGCCCAATGTGCCTTTGGATAGCTCCATTTGGAGGCTTGAGCAAGACTCGGGTGACATGGACATACCTGTCGTATGCGAAGTCGTCCAGGACCAGTCTGAGGACGCTCTAAGACTATTAATGCACTATAACAACTCGCTCATATCCGAAACAGAGGCTTCGATAGTTATGGAGACTTTTGATGCTGCCTTGTCATCCCTCATCAAGTTTCCTGATGCACTTTCTGCTGACACCGACATGTTCCCCTCCAACCTCTGGGCGAATTACAACACGAATTTCAAACGTCTCGAAAGTGATTCTAAGTTTCTGCACTCTGGATTTGAGCGCACAGCATTGCTGCACCCAGATCGCATTGCCCTCGACTTCTGGCATTCCCAAGGAAAGAAGACGACATGGTCTTTCGAGCAACTCAATCGAGAAGCAAATCAGATTGCACATGCGCTCATCAGAGCTGGTGCTTGGCCAGATCAAGTCATACCTATACACATATCCAAAAGCCCGATATACTATGCCAGCATACTGGGAGTACTCAAATCTGGAGCCGCTTTCGCACCTGTTCATCCCGATCTTCCCGAAGCGCGCAAGCAGCTGATGTTCAAAGATCTGAAACCAAAGATCATTCTTTGCGACGATGGCTCGTTGCTTCCTGAAGATCTCCCTGACGTGACCGTTCTCATCACTCAATCAATGTCAAGTGATGATGTCTCCAACCCCATTATCGAGGATCTGAAAGATACCAACCTGGCTTACTGTCTATTCACCTCTGGCTCTACAGGTGTTCCAAAAGCTGTCAGCATGGAACATTGTGCTCCAATACAGACGATCGAAAGCTCCAGAACAATCATACCTTGGAACCCCCAATCTAGACTCCTTCAATATGCTGCGGTAACTTTCGACATGTGCTACTACGACTGCTTTCTTTCCTGGACGTTTGGCTTTGCCCTTTGTGCTGCGGAGCAGAGTGACTTACTCAACGATCTTTCGGGAGTGATCAAAACCCTTGAAGCTGATCTACTTGACCTCACGCCATCTGTTGCAGAGACTCTAAAGAGGGCTGATGTTCCAAATGTGAAATGGCTTTACTGTATCGGTGAAGCCATGTCTTCATCAGTTGTGAAGGAGTGGGAAGGGGCATGCGTCAATTCGTATGGTCCGACTGAAGCTGCCTTTTGTACAACCATCACTCCCCTCTCTAAAGATGAAAGCACTTCGATTATCGGAAAACCCTTTCCAACAACATCCTTTGCCGTCTTCTCTGAGGGCAGCCAAACTCCATTACCTGCCTTAAGTATCGGAGAGCTCTATATCGGGGGTGCACAGCTCGCGCGAGGTTATTGGGGCAGGGCCAACCTCACAAATGATCGTTTCGTGAGCCGCTGCGGCCAAAGATTCTACAAAAGTGGCGATATGGTACGGATGTTGAGTGACGGCAACTTCGAATTCATGGGACGTCTTGATGATCAGGTAAAGATCCGGGGACTTCGAGTTGAGCTGGGTGAGATCAATAGTATTCTTGCAGAGCTTGACCCAGATTTGCTGTCTGTCACGACGCAAATCCTACTAAAAGGAGAATCCTCAAAAGAGCAATTGGTTTCATTCATGGTCCTGCGTCAATCAATCCAGGAAAGCGATATCCCTACGCTCCAGCGGAAGCTCAAGAAACTAGCGAGTGCTCGTTTACCTTCTTACATGGTTCCTCAATTCTTCTTGGTAGTGGACGAGATACCAAAATCCATGGCTGGTAAAATCGACAAGAAGGCTTTGAGTACCATCTTTCAACAATACTCAGACCCTAGCTCACTTCCCAATGGGATCTCACATACTGTAGAGCACCAGTGGTCCAAGACCGAAAGTGAGGTTCGCAACATTCTTGCACATATATCCAAAACTCCAACGGAAAACATCTCGCCATTAACATCGATATACCAGCTAGGTCTCGACAGCATTAGCGCAGTTCAGATCGCATCTGCTCTTCGTTCTCAAGGATACACAATCAAAGCGACAGACGTCCTGAAACATACCACATGCAATGATCTTGCTGAGCACTTGGACCAGATTTCCACTTCAGAGGCGCCTGAAAGTTCACCATTCGATTTTCATGGCTTTGAGAGCAGGCACAGAATGCAGATATTGAGAGATCATGGTATCCAAGATGGGAATGTTGCCGCTGTCCGCCCGTGCACTCCCCTCCAAAACGGGATGGTATCGCAATTCCTTGCAAAGGAGGGGGCTGTTTACATGAACTACCTCAGGTTGCAACTAGAGCCGAAAGTTGACTTGGAGAAGCTAAAAGCAGCATGGTCCTCTACTATGGAACGCCATAGCTTGCTGCGTACTGGATTTGCTCATGTTAACGATCCGCTTTTTCCTTTCGCCATGATCGAGTATACCCAGGTTTCTGTCACACTACCATGGAGTGCAATACGAGAGCAAAAGAAATCTCAGTCGTCCAATGCATGGCTTCAAAGAATACGGGCCCAGTCACTCAAGGAGCTGTACGTGCCTCCTTGGGCACTACGATTCGTTGAAAGAAATGATCAGTCCTTCCTCGACTTGGCTATTTTCCACGCATTGTTCGATGCGCAAAGCCTCCAAAATATCTTCACCGATGTTACAGCCTTTTACAAGGGCTTAAGCCTACCACCAGTACCATCACTAAACGAAGTTGTAAGTCATGTCATTCAATCTTATAAACAAGACAACAGCAGCGGAAAAGAGTTCTGGGTGGAACTTGGCAAGACTGCAAATCCATCTCGTTTTCCCAACCTAGCGCCTTTGAAATGCGATCCTAAACCACCAATCGTATGTACCAGGCGATCTGCAAAATCGCTCATTGATTTGGAAAACGGATGTCGGCAAGCAAATACCACGATGCCAGCTGTGGGCATGGCGAGCTGGCTATCGCTGTTGTCGTCCTATACTGGAGAAAGTTCTGTGACCTGCGGTGTTGTCCTTTCTGGCCGAAGTTCTGATGCTACAGCGCACGCCAACTTCCCGTGCATCAATACTGTGCCGTTAGCATTCACAGTGGCGAATGATACGACAAAGATGTTGGAATCAATCACTGTGTTAAATGCGGGCATCCAGGAACATCAGTTCAAACCACTGAAAGAAATTCAAGCCCTGATGGGCTTTCCAAACGAGTCACTCTTTGATAGCATTTTCGCGTATCAGAAACTAGCAAACAACAAAGATACCTCTGACCTTTGGACCGTTGTAGACGAAAATGCTACCATCGAGTATCCAGTCTCCATCGAGCTGGAACCAAAGGAAGAAAGATTGGAGTACAGACTCACATACTTTCCACACATAATTCCAAGAGAACAAGCGTCTTTGATTCTTGCACAGCTTGATCACTTGATGGAAAGTTTGATTTTTCACTCCCAAATTCCTTTGGCCAAAACAGACTACTCCCAGCACCTATACTCTATCACGCCAGCAAAGGAAGATGAGCTGCCATCGGATATGAAGCTTCTCCATGAGCTAGTAGAGAAGACTGCTCAGGAGCACCCTCAGCGCATTGCTTTTGAATTCGTGTCAAAGGAGAGCAGTGGAAAGCGTCCAGTGAGGAAGTGGACATACCGCGAACTGGATCAAGAAGGCAACAAGATCGCACAACTGCTGGCGGCTCACAATGTCAAGCAAAACAGTCTTGTGGGTGTATGCTTCGACAAATGCCCAGAGGCCTCTTTCGCTATGCTGGGAATACTCAAAGCGGGGTGCGCTTTTGTTGCCATAGATCCAGGAGCACCTGCCGCGCGTCAGACGTTCATCATTGAGGACTCTGATGCCCAGGCTGTTCTGTCAATGTCATCGCAGTCGGCTCAGTTTAACGCGATTGCCAAGGTACCGGTCCTCAACCTCGATGAAGTCGAATGGTGCTCGCTTTCTGGGCAAAAACTACTACAAAATAGCGTCATCGACCCCCAGGACCGCAGCTACTGCTTGTATACGTCTGGAACCACTGGGACACCTAAAGGTTGTGAATTGACCCATGAGAATGCTGTCCAAGCCTTGCTGGCCTTCCAGCGTCTTTTCGCCGGGCACTGGGATGTGGACTCGAGGTGGCTCCAATTTGCGTCTTTTCACTTCGACGTCTCCGTACTCGAACAGTACTGGAGCTGGTCTGTTGGTATTTGCGTAGTATCCGCACCTCGTGACCTTATCTTTGAAGATCTCGCAGGCTCCATCCGTGACCTCAACATCACCCACATCGACCTGACGCCGAGCCTAGCTCAAATCCTACACCCCGATGATGTGCCAAGTCTTTGCAAGGGCGTTTTTATCACAGGCGGTGAAAGTCTAAAGCAAGAGATTTTGGATGTTTGGGGTCCTAAAGGCGTCATTTACAATGGATACGGGCCCACCGAGGCTACGATAGGATGCACCATGTACCCACGCGTTCCAGCAAATGGGAAACCTTCCAACATCGGCCCGCAATTCGACAATGTTGGGTCGCTGGTCCTCCGTCCGGGCTCTGACGTTCCAGTCTTAAGAGGTGGTGTCGGCGAACTTTGCGTCTCGGGAAAACTCGTTGGAAAAGGCTATCTCAATCGTCCAGATTTGACTACAGAGCGCTTCCCATATCTTAACCGCTTCTCTCAACGCGTATATCGCACAGGAGATGTCGTCAGAATTCTTCATGATGGTACATTCCACTTTTTGGGTCGCGCCGATGATCAAGTCAAGTTGCGTGGCCAGCGTTTGGAAGTCGCTGAGATCAATTCTGTCATCAAACAGTCTGACAGCGATATTTCAGATGTCGCAACGCTTGTGTTGAAGCATCCAAAGCAACAGAAAGAGCAACTTGTTTCTTTTGTTGTGTGCGGCAAAGCTCTGAAGGCTCAACCAGAAGTCTTGCTCGGCGAGGTTGGAGGGATAGCAAGCGCGAAGCAGGCTTGTAACGACAAACTTCCACCTTACATGCTACCCACCCACTTTGTCCCTCTTACTTCCATGCCACTGAATGTCAATAACAAGGCAGATGGAAAGGCGCTTAAGAAGATGTACGAGTCTCTTTCTTCTACCGACCTTCAAAAGCTGTCTGCCACTTCTTTGTCTAGAGATGAACAGTGGTCGAAACAAGAGGAGAAACTCCGCGATGTCATGCTTGAAGCTCTTGGCGCGGACCATGAGAGTATGTCCAAAAACACAAGCTTTTATGAGTTGGGCATGGACTCTATCTCCGTGATAGGCGTCACACAATCTTTGAAACAGTCTGGTTTCACGAAAGTCACTACCTCAATGATACTGCAATGCCCTACAATTCGGCGGCTTGCAAAATCTCTGGCTGCCAATAGTGCTATGAGCAACGTTCGCGGATCGATTCTCGCCGCACAACAGTCTATCAATGCTGTAAATCATCGCCATCGACGCAAAATTGCTAAACGCTTATCTGTCAAACCCAGCATGATCGAATCTCTTGCACCATGTACACCCTTACAGCAAGGAATGATTGCAAGATCGATGGAAAATGGCAATGGGCTTTACTTCAATACTTTCCGGTTCAGATTGAACATGGACGTGGACGAAGGAAAGCTGCGTCATGCGTGGGAAACAATGTATAACTCGACCCAAATACTACGTACAGTATTCGTCAACACCGAAGAAGGCTATTTGCAAGCTGTTCTCGGTGGCATTCCCTTCAATGGGTTCATCCAAACGTCGACTCAAGATGATGATCTCATCAGTCATATGGCACAATTACACAAGGATTGGCTCAGTCTCAACGATGTTGACTTCCGACAGCCGTTCCAGGTACATCTTGTTTCAGCGCAGAAGCAGAAGCAGCTCATTGTGCACATATTCCATGGCCTGTATGACGGAAACAGCATCGGTCTCTTACTGCAAGGTGTCTGGAATTCATACGAGAGACGGGACTCGATGCCAGATGCGCCATCATTCCACACTGCTCTTGCTCACGGTCCACTCAGAATACCCGACGACGCGAAAAGCTTTTGGAAGGACCTGATACTAGCCAGAACTTCATCACTTCCCACGCTGTTCGACAATTCCAGTCAAGACGCTGTTGTCATTGCACGTACAATGCGTGCACCGGCCAACTTTGACCTCATCCGAAGACAGCTTAATGTCACAGCACAGGCTGTTGTACAAGCCTGTTGGTTCAGCGTTCTCCACAGACATGTAAAGGGAGATGTGGCAACTGGCATAATCGTATCTGGTCGCAGCATTGAATTCGAAGGCGCAGATCGTGTTATAGGGCCTATGTTCAACACCATTCCATATCACCATCGGGCTCAGCGTAGTGAGTCCTGGTCATCAATCATCGAGAGGGTTCACGATTTCAACATCCAAGCTCACCCGTTTCAACATACGCCACTCAGAGATATCATGAAGTGGTGCAAGAGATCACCAAGTAACCCGCTATTTGACAATCTCTTTGTGTATCAAGTTCCACAAGACAATCAGGAGTGGGCAAAAAACGATCTTTGGACACTTTTAGACGATGAGGCCATCGCTGATTATCCATTGGCTTTTGAGGTCGAGCATCGGGGCGGCACCGAGTTGAAATTGACATTGGTTACACAAGGGCATGTCGCCAATGACCAGATCGCAGCTAAGTTATTGGACATGTTTGAAGAAGCGCTGGACCAAGCCATCAATGACCCATCGGCTGTTCTAGAGCTGCCAGCCGATGTGGATGGTGCAGTTGAAAACAATACTGCTATTCGATCTAAGCTGGATGACAACAATGATATCTCGGATTTTGAATGGAGTGACAATGCCATCGCGATCCGCGAAGAGATTGCCAATTTGACCGCAAACGAGATGGAAAGCATCAGTGAAACGACATCGATCTTCGAACTTGGCCTTGATAGTATCGATGCAATCAAGCTCTCGTCCAAGCTCAAGAAACGAGGAATGGAACTCTCAGTCAGCGGTATCATGCGCGGGTTGACTATTGAGAAGATGGCACAAAATATGTCGATGAAGAACACTCAAACTACAGAAGCGGCACCGCACTTTGATCTAGATGCCCACAAAACGAAGCTAGCGAAGTGTCTCTACCACCAAGGATTCAGCGCCGATGACATTGAGGAAATTCTTCCTCTAACACCCCTCCAGGAAGCTATGGTTGCGGAGATGATCGCATCCGAGTACACAAGGTATTTCAACCATGACGTGCTAAAGCTCAGCCCAGATACAGACATAAGCAAGTTCCAAAAGGCCTGGACCACGGTCGTCATGGGTTCACCAATTTTACGTACTGGTTTCGTTGAGGTGGACAATCCGGACATCGATCTCTCTTTCGCGCAGATCATCCACCGTCAACCACATGACTTTTACTCACACATGAGTTTTGGCAGCAGACCTGACTTTGCGTCTATCTTCAAGGATCTCCGAAATGATGCGATTCAGAGGCCACTTTCGACACCGCTCTTTCATCTTACATTCATCGATACTCCTGATCAATCATACCTCGTGTTGTCAATCGCGCACGCGCTGTATGATGGATGGTCTCTGAGTTTGTTACATTCTGATGTGCACCGAGCTTACCAGAATGAATTTGAAGCTCGGCCTTCTTATCAACCGTCATTAGCGGAGATTATCAAGACCTCAGGGCCCGATGCTGCAGGTTTTTGGCAAGACTACCTCTCTGGCGCTAACGGCAACACTTTCCCGCGTCGAACACTAGAGCCCGATGAGAAGAGCAGCACTGTTCATCGCCATCAAGAAAATAGTAAAATCGCACTGGAACTCATCCAGTCGTTTGCAAGGAAGAACAATGTCTCGCTTCAGACTGTGGGACAAACAGTCTTTGCCCTCGTCACTGCATCTTTTACCCGCTCTCTCGATGTTACGTTTGGCTCTGTGCTTTCCGGACGTGACGAAGAGGAAACATCCCAGTTGATGTTTCCAACTATGAACACAGTGGCTATACGAACAATCCTTCACGGAAAAAGTATTGAGTTGCTACGCTATGTACAAGACAACTTTGCGAATATTAAGCAGTGGCAACATTATCCGCTTCGAAAGGCTATGTCGCAGGCTAGATTGGATGGGAGGTTATTTGATAGCCTGTTCATCTATCAAAAGAGACTAGAGCAACAACAAAATGAGGGCGAGAGGCTTTATACCAGTGTTGGGGGCCATAGCGATGTCGAGTATGCGGTGTGCGTTGAGATGGAGGTGGTGAAGGAGGCTTTGATATGGCGTTGCGCGGTCAAAGATGATGTTTTTGATTTGGAAGAAACAAGGCAGTTGTTGAAGAGGATGGACGATGTGCTGATACACTTGATGGAGCGAGCAGAGGCACCAGTGATTGACATGACCGCAGAAGGAACGTCAGTCTGCGGTCTCCCAGCTTTTGAAGAAGCTGAGATGCATACTGGAAGTGGTCATGTAGAATCAGGGGAAGACGATGGGCAGGATACACCAAGCACAGAAACAACTAACAGGATCCGCAAAATACTGGCTGCAGTTTCGAAGACACCTGAGGAGGAGATGACTAACGACATGACTATATTCCACATGGGACTGGACTCAATCAGTGCAATCAAAGTATCTTCGCTTCTTCGCAAACAGGGGGTTGTTCTCAGCGTTGGAGAGATGCTGCAAGCTGGTTCGGTGGAGAAGATGGCCAAGCTTGCCGATGCCCGTGCTACGGAACCATCCAAAGACGATGCGATCGATTCAGCGAGTCTTGGAGAAATTCTCAAAGAATTGAACGAGGCAGAGGTTTTCAAGCGAGCCGGAGTTGATGTGGACAACGTCGTTCAGATGTTGCCAGTCACTGCTGGTCAGCTTTACATGTTGTCCATGTGGCTCAATACTAACGGCAGCAATTTCTATCCAGAATTTAGCTACGAGTTCGAGGCGGATGTAGCGTTTGAAGATCTGAAAAAGGCATGGCAGGCTTTGGTGACGACGAATCCAATACTCAGGACATGCTTTGTCTCAGTGGGCAATCACCAGGTATCCTACGTTCAGCTTGTGTTGAGAGATATCGATATTGCCATTACAAATGTCACTGAATATGGAGAAGAGGAAATACGCAACTGTATCCGAAAAGCTACGACTCAGCAACCATGGGCAAGACTGCTGGTTTCCCGGAACTCCCACAGCTGGACTTTGCGACTCAAAATACACCACGCACTCTATGACGGCATCAGTCTACCATTGCTCATGCAACAATTCGAAGACTTATGCAACGGCAGTGTCCTGAATGCTTCTCGAAACGATATCCTAGCCGACTTCATATCCAGCACATCCTCGCTCTCTTCCTCCCCGCAGCGCCGCCAATTCTGGGAAACCCATCTTCTCTCCAGGACAGCGCCAACACAACTGAAACAGCCCTCGCACACACCCACTACCCGCCTAGAAATCTTCCGCCCGTCCCTAACCCCCATCCAAACCCTTGACACCACCGCCCGCCATCACGGCATCTCCCCGCACGCCCTCTTCCTCGCCATCTACGCAAAACTCCACTCCCGCCTTCCCCACAGCACCACCACCGACGACAACATAGTGCTAGGTATCTACCTCGCCAACCGCTCTCTATCATGCACCCCCGAGCTCCCTGGTGCCGCAATCCCAACACTCAACCTCGTCCCCTTGCGCGTTTCAACCCCGCAATCCCGCAGCGTAGTCGAGTCGGCAAAACAAGTCCAAGCGCACCTGCGTCATCTTAACGATGCCACACTGGCAACTACGAGTCTTGTCGAGATTGAGCGGTGGACCGGTGTAAAAATTGATGTCTTTGTTAATTTTCTCGTCGATATAGACGACCAGGGTGCTCGTCCGAAACACGCACATCAACGTGTCAAAATCTCGCCTACGCTCCGACAGCAGTACTACTGCTCTTCTTTTTCGCGTACGTCTTCTGTAGTTCAGCCGGAGTTTATGGATTTCCAGGCGTTACGAAATGAGCACGTGAATGGTGTTTATTTGGTATGTCATTAACCCCCCTTTTTCCTCTTCATTCCAGGCTTTTGTTTCTTTTTTTTTGGCTAATGTAAGATGTAGCACGCCATTGATATTGAAGCAACGGTGAGAGAAGGGTACTTGGATGTGGGTATTTTTGCACCAGGGGATATGATTAGTTTGGAGCAAGGAGAGCAATTGATGGATGGATTAAAGGGAGAGGTTGAGGGGTTGTAAAGTTCATATTTTTTTTTCCTCTTGCTTTTTTTTTCTCTACTTTGTTAGTTAGGTGGGATTGAATATTTTTTGGGGGGAGTTTTTGCATCGGGATAAGGCATGTGTGTGTGTGTGTGTGTGTGGAGTAGTTGTTAACTTTGACATTTTTTTTCTATTCCTATGAAACAAAAGTCATACACATGATTTGATGATGCTTCAATTGTGGTACAATGAATTTCGTGAAATAATTATACATGCCATTACCGATCAGATGCCTCGCTCACCATGATCATGCTCGTTACTAATTATACAAATGCCCCAGGGTAGATTTGGTCGAATGAGAAAAGAAAACAAATTAAACCGATTAAGCCTTGGTGGTATAAATCTCCCCACACTCCTTCAATCATTTCACAACCAACTCTAAACCATATGTTCACCCCTTGCACCATGGCCAACAGGCTTCCTGTTCACGTGCGAACCAGCGGGACCCTCAGCTTGGGGCATCATGGTACCCCTAGGACCATCGGCAGCATCAAAAGGGGCGCCACCCCAGCTACCTGCATCATGGGTGCCCCAACCAGCCTTGCGGGTGAAAATGGCGTCGTGGAAGCCGTCAAAGGAGCTGGGACCAGCGCCGTAGACAAAGGGGGCGTGGCGCATCAGAGGGATGTGGTTGAAGCGGAAGTCCCAGACGGAGGCGTACGTCATGCGGTAGGCGCTAAAGGCCATCATGGAGCCGATTACTGCACCTGCGAGGACGTCGTACTATTTGTATTGTGTTAGTTTTTGAGTGTACCAGACTTTAAAACGCTTGATAAGAAAAAAAAAACTCACCCAGTTGTGGTATTCGTCAATGGTAAGGGCACCACCGATGAGACAAGCACCGAGGATGGGCGCGTACAAAGCAACCAACTTCCACATTGCGGGGTGGTGGTTGGAAAAGACCTTGAGCTTTGCATTGAGGTAGAGGTAGAGAAAGACGAAACCGGCAAAGGCAGCAGTTGTGTGACCGGATGGCATGGACTCGAGAGAATCGTTGATTTGGTTCTTGTCGCCCGTGCAGATGCTCTTGTCAAACATGATTTGACGGTATCCATTGGCGACGTTGCCGTTGCCGCTGCCAGACTCGATGCCGTTGTCGGCTGCACCAACGGTTGAGCGAAGGTCTTCAGGGATAACGGGCTTGCAGACAGCGAGGAAGTGAGGGCGAAGACCACCAATGAGCCATTTGATGAAGACCTGGAAGACTGCGGCGGTAATGAGAGAGTACAAAAGCCCGATAGTGGCGTTGTTGACGTCCCAGAAGCTGCGGGCGCGAATCTGCACAATCAAAAAGACGGCAAAGGGGATGAAAAAGGCCATGAGGGCGGCAGCCCAGATGGGGATGATTTCGTTGCGCAGGGGGTAGGCAAACTCTGGGTAGACAATCTCGCCATCTTGGAAGACGACTGGAGCGTGTTAGATGGTGGCAGTTTGGGTGCCGGACAGGATACGTACTGGGAAAGCTGCGGCTAGGAGCAGGATCCGCCATGTAGACACCCAGGCCAATGGCACCCATAGCGGCCATGGTCAGGATGTCGAGCCAAGTAGCCTTGAGCCATTGTCCAAAGCTTGGTCTGGAGTTGTACGACGATGAGTGAGATTTGGAGTGGCGCCTTGGTCTCTTTTCCCTGTGCGAGCCAGTCGCAGTGGTTGTGTCGGCGGCGACGGGCGTCGTGTTTCGCTTGTTGAACAGACCCATGGTGGCTGTGGTTGTGGATGGATGTGTGGTGAGGCAAGTGTGCCGAGTGGTGAATGACGTATGGGCACTCGAACCGCCTGATTGTACAGGCGAGTACAACGAAAGAAGAAGAGAGCGGGTTGGTAGGTAGCCAATTCACAAGCAGCGGCTCATTGCTTATATTTGCACACTGTTGCTTTCCCGCCTTGGCGGGTTGCTCGCAAAGTCGTCACTCAGCATCATCTTTGTCGCAACGGCATACCACCAGGCTGGTTCGCAGCAACAAAACCTGCTTTCTGGCCAACCTTGTTACAGTCGAGGCGCATGCAAAGCGCAGACAGAGAACGAAATAATAGTCGATCTTATCCTGTCCAAGCAAGTTGGCAAAAGCTTGGTTTGCAAAGCAGAGGCTTGGCAGGCCCGTCTGTGGCTCTTGTGTGGCTGGGGAGGCGCGCGATGATGGCATGTGTGGCTCCTCAGTGCCGTGTAGCCACTAGACGGTGGAATGCTTTGGCCATGCGCTGACGCGACGACGGGCCTACTGTGCCGAATGCTGGGGGATTGATAGAGGCCTGAGGGACGGTTTGCGTGTGCGCGGTGTGATGGTGCAAGTCGCAGAGGGCGTGACGTCAGAGGGTACCAGATTTGACCGAGCTGTGAATGAACGTGTCGAGTCACGAGACGTGTTTTCATGCAAGCCCAGCTCTTCTTTGGTTTCAAATGCCCCGATGCGTCGTCACAAACACTTCTGCATGCGTTACGTTCCGCCAGAGAAAAGAATGGATATTCAACAGCCTAATAAACAGTACACCTCAATTCCAGCATAACAACAGAAAACGCATCAATCAATGGGTATCATTCTCTCTCTCTCCCCTCCTCATGCTTCCTTCGCCGGCATCTACTCCAACCGCCTAGGAATGGATATGCACCTCAGTGCTGCCACTGCGATGCCATGTCGCGAGCAAAACACCGCAGCGGCCACACTTGTGCTGGACGTCCTTTGTCGAGCTCATGACGTAGGGAATGCAGCCCAAGCAGCACAAGCAGCAAAGACCAAAGGCCCAGGCATGCGTCGTGTTGCCCGTCTCAAACGAGACGTTTGTGAGGGAGCGCTGGCCACATGCAGGGCAGTCTGCGGGCGCGGGGCCGCGCTGCAGATTGGCAATAGGCGTCGCGTTCTGGTACTGTGTGCCGGGCATTTGCTGGGGCGGCATGCCTGGGGCTGAAGCAGCGGCGCTGGCGTCTGGGTGCGGATAGCTGGCTTGTGGGGGTGGCTGCGAGTATTGCTGCGCGTTTGGGTCTTGTGCGTAGACAGGCGGCTGTGGCTGACCTGTGGCTTCAGGCGATTGGGGGTAGGCTTGCATGGGAACTGTTATGGCGGTTAGCTAAACGTTCATACATGCCATCGTGAACGTGGTACGGCGACACAGCACAGCACAGCAAACATCATCGTGCTGCAGCGTAACTACTGCTCCGCATCCAAGCCCACAGGTACAAGCCTTCTCAACACTTACCACCTGGCTTCTCCATTGTTTCAGTAGGTAGCTTCGAATGCGTGGTGCAAGAGGTATTAGTTGGCGGCAACGACAATTCTCAAAGGTAGTAGTACACAATGCGTCAAGAGCAAACGAGGGCCAGCGCCCAAGTTTATTAAAGCCCTTCAGGCGCACCGTCGTCGCTTAGACTCCATCATTCACCGCACGGGGGCCTAAACTTGGGGGGCGCCAGGCGTACTCGGTAGCACAGCCTCGACTCGTGCATTACCATCATTCGCCCATTGCGCGCGCTGGCCCCCATTCAAGCCCTCCACCCGCCCAATGGGCCATTTCCCCCACCCTAGTCGTCTAAAAACCGCCGTCGAGCCTGCAGGGTCGAAGCGCCTAAGCCTCAATTCATCTTGTGGCTGATGTTCTTTTCCACACAAGGCGGGTTAATAGCGCAGCAGGGTCTGGCGAGGGCGGGAAGGCCCCAAGCCTAATAAATAATTTCCATCTGTCGTTCCATGGCACTAGCATCGGAAATAACCCAGGGGGCCAGAGACATCCCCTCCTGTTGGTCGCCTCCCGGATACTGGCACTCGCAAGCCATTGTAATCTCAGCCTTGTATCGTCACGTTTCTTTGCCTCAACTCCGGGTCGAGTAACCGTTGGCATTAGACATTATGTACTGCGCAGGGCTGTGCTGCGGCGGTGGATGCGATCAACACACGTGTACCTACTTTTCATCTTAGCGCATTTCCTCCGACGGCATGAAACCGTGTCAACAGAGGGCCGGTTCCTGCAGCCATCTTTTTTCGAGACATAGTGCCTCTGGTAATTAGCGCCCGCCAGACGCTCGTCAACATGAAGCCGGCGACCTGGCAGTCCGGCTCCGTGTTAATGGTTGTATGTGCCGCTCAGTAGCGCGTATCCATGTCGTCCAGGTCGATGTCGTCCTCTGACTCTTCAGCTGCATCGCCCTTGGTGGCTTTGGTGGGCTCAGAATATGTCCCGTGCAACATCTTGTGCTGCTCTGGGGTCAGGTCAACAATGGTCGGCGCATAGTCGCCCACCTCGTCCTCTGCATCCGCACCGTTGACTTCCAGTTCCACGCGCTCTCCGTCCTCCAACTCCAACATGCCGCGCTTCAGATACGAGCCTTCGGGCTGCCATCCAAACTCCCTCTCCATATACTCCTGTAGGTCGTCCACCTCGTCCACCATATCGGCTTTCCACTTGCCATCAAAGTCTTGAAGACCTTTCCGGAACTGGCCCAGCAGTGGTCGCAAGAACCCCCCACCAGCGTCATTCATGTCGAATAAATCTCCCTCGGCGTCTACACAGTGGCCAAGCTGAATGCGCAGACACTTGAAAAGGTCCAAGAAAAGATGAGAGCGCTCCTTGACTGCTTGCCGACATGTGAGTAGCAGTCGCAGCAATCGCTTCCACTGTTCGAGACAAGAGTTGTTGTTGAGCGTCAAGACCATGAGAAAGGCAAACTGCAGCTCGCCCAGAATCTCGTTCTCCCGGCCCTGCTCATCTCCTGCCTGGCAGTGCTTGTCGATGAGGTCGCCTAGAAACCAGGACCGGTCCTGTGCAGCTTCTGTGCGTTCCCTGCCAGTCGCTCCTTCTCTCCACGTTTTCTTCAAATCAATTGGCAGGAACCTTAGCTCCTTCTCCGGGTGCAACATGCTATTGCTCGACTCCAGGCCCGGTATGTCATCCAGGTCCTGCGAGGCCGACGAGGCCGACGTCAAGTTCCAGTGGTCGGGGTTCAGCCCGCATATCCTCGACAGTATTGTAGGCGTGATGTGTGTGGTGAG